TTGGTGGTGGTGTTTGTTTTTAAAGAAGTGCTTTGCTCCTAACTATGTATCTTCCTCATGATGGTACAATTCCACATTATGAAACAAACCTATGTAATAGCTTACCATTACAGAAGAGGAAGGTTTCTGTTCCCTCCTCCCAACTACTCTTTCTCCCTGACAACTATTTTATGCCAGACTCATCATAACTATTTTAACCTTAACCTACAACACCACTCTCTCAATCAATACTATAAAATCTAACTCCAGATTGTCTCTGACCATGTAGTGAATTCAAACAGCTCATTAATGGGTCTAAAGAGCATCAGATCTGCACAGCAAGTGAGATCACAGCACTGGGAAAAGCAAAAGTAAGCACAAGATCTTCTAGCAGCAAAATTTCTTCAGCTGAACATAAAATCATTGTGAATTAACTCCCAAGTTCTATAGAAAAGTTGTATAAGTAAGTTGTATTCCCACTTAACTCTTAAACTTATCCTCTGCTCCAAAAAGAACATTGTTAGAAACCAAAGTTTCACCGTTTGACCACTAAAAGTTCTATGCTAGTTCAGATTTCAATCCCACAAAAGTAAAACTGAAACAGCTAAATAGCAAACCCAGAAAGAACGAACCTAGTATTTACATGGAAGAATTACATGGAAGGAAAGAGTTGGTCTTCAAATACAGCTGCAGGATTACTTGACTTTTAAGTTACTTCTCACAGCCTGAAAACAGTAATTTTGTCAAAATCATGACACACAACCCACCCTGCTGATAATAACAGCTATACAAAGAGCAAGTGAAATGAATACCTGAAACACAAGTTAATTAGACATAGCAGACCACAACCAGGAATAAAAAAAACCACCACCACCACCCCCAAAAAACCACAACCCACCATCACATGTAGCCCATGGTCACCAAGAACATCAGAGAGAGAATAGAATTATAGAATCGTTTAGGTTGGAAAAGACCATTAAGATTACAGATTAATGTAATTACAGATTACATTAACCTAGCACTCTCAAGTCCACCACTAAGCCATGTTCCTAAGCACCATATCTACATCTTTTTAATACCTCCAGGGATGGTGACTCAACCACTTCCCCAGGCAGCCTGTTCCAATGCTTGACAACCCTCTCAGTGAAGAAATTTCCCCTAATATTCAATCTAAACCTCCCCTGGCACAACCTGAGGCCATTTCCTCTTGCCCTACCACTTGTTACTTGGGAGATGAAACTGACACCCACCTCACTATAACCTCCTCTAACTCACCTCTCAACAACCATTAGTATTTAAGCAAGAACTGAATTTCAGAAAAAGAAAACCCAGAGTGCACTAACCCATGTCATGGATTTTTCCAGTCGTGTGCCTGTCAACTCTTCTAGAAACATGACTCAGAGTCACAGAACCACTAAAGTTGGAAAAGACCTTTAAGATCATTAAGTCCAACTGTCAACCCAACACTACCATGCCCACTAAGGTCAGCTGGAGTCAGCTGTCCCAGCTGTGTCACTTCCCAACTTCTTGTGCACACCCAGCCTACTCACTGATGGAGTGGTATGAGAAGCAGAAAAGGCCTCAACTCTGTCTTCTGACATAACGTTTTGTCAAAAACCTGGGGAAGACTGTTGCAGCTCATCTTCAAGAAAGTTTACAAAATTGTACAGAATCAACTTGTGATCATCACACTGACATAGTAAGAGAGAAGTCTTCAACAATCAAGCCACCGGTTTTAATACTTGAACTTTTTCTACCACAGTAGCTTTACTTTCACACACATGCACTATCTCAATTCTGCTGCTGCAGATCTCAGAAGCAATTTTCTCTTCTAGCAATTGAGCTGGTTTTCACCTCACTTCAGACAAACCAGAAAGCTAGCAACTATAGAAACAATAATCAGAAGGCTTATTTTATGCAATTAGATTAAAAAAAAAATCATTAAAACAGACAATCAAATAGACTAAAAGCATCAAAACAAAAGGTGAAATAATAAAGTTTACAAACATTCGCATTAACGAAGCAGACCATTCTTACAAGTAACTTCAGCTCAGGAAAATAAGCAAAGATGTGTGATGTGTATATATTTTTGTAGTGGTATCAGTAATCTTGAGGACTAGCATGTCAAAATATTTACCAAATCTATCAACAAGATGGTTTCATTAATGTTCTTGAGAAACTAAGTTAAAGGAAGAAAACAAAGATTTTCTTATATATATACACACACACACTTTGACTAGCTTTAGATATTTCAATAACACTCTTGTGATGGCCCTGATAATTTAGTTTTCACTTGTCTATTACCTAAGACTTTAAACACCTTTTATATCTTCTAAGTTCTTAAGTCTCTTGTTGTAGTAGCTCTCCTTGCTCAGTGCCTTTAATAATAAATTTTCCCAAACGCTGCCTTTAAAGCTTATTTCACTCTGATTGTTTTCCCTTGTTTACGGCAGTAGCACAGATCATTAACAGAAGGAATTAAAGTGGAACTGTGATCTTTGAAAAGCTGAAGTTGAAGCTGTAGCTTCTTAAGTTACACCAAAGAAAACAAATAGGAAAATAAGGAACTGTGACAGAACAAAGCATTTTTTAAAAAAACAACGATGCTGAAGATCATTGACAATATTTTTAGTGCTCCAACTCTGAATATTGTTAACTCTTATCTGTTTATTATGTCTTCTGGTAGAGAAGACCAGATGATACTATAATCAAACAGCACAGTTGTAAAACTCTCTACTACCAGGTCTCAAATGACTGCATGAATAGCGTTTTGAGTCTGCCACACCATTCTCTAAATGAATAATTCTCACAGAGTCTCTTTTTACCCAGACAATAAAAGGGCAGTATTTCCAGATGCACAACTTTGGCCTTACATTGTACTGAATCCTCATGCACAACAGTTTTGCTTCTATCATTTTTTTCAGTAACATGGACTCCCAGGTGCTGACATGCAAGGCTGAGGTGAGCCTGCAGTCCTGTTACATCAATCTCACATGCTAAGTTTTCACACAGAGCTTGGAAGAGATAACAAGGACAGCAAGTTCATGGAATGTTGTAAGGACTCCTTTGCTCAGTGATGGAATCTCAGCCATGCCATGTTGAAACTAGGCAGCAGAAGCTGAAACTAATCTAGCAGTGGATGTAGCATCACAGTACTGGAGTGACAACTCCAGTACAGTCCAACAATTCAGAGCTACAAGTCAACAAACAAGAAAAAAGCAAACAAGGCAAGTATGATCTGAGTTCCTCATTAGGCCTTACTGCTGTCAGGAACAGTTAGTAGAAGTCAACTCACAGATGTCATCATATGCCACAGAGTAGGTCTTTATTTTAGATCTAGTTAGAAGCTTTAATGCAAACTGTATCCAGAAATACTGTAATTCCCTGCATAAAACCATGCAACTTCCCCATAAGAAACCAGAGCACATTAAAGACCTCTGGTAAATTATGAAAGTTTCCATATCATAGCATTCCTAGAAGTTATATACTTCAAACATTTTCCAGATAGTTCACATTACATGCTCTCCAAGGAAAAGATTTTTGACCCTAAACACATTCTAAATTTCAGTAAAAGAAACATGTTCAAAAAAACAGTAGGAATACAAACAGAAGTATTTTTCTCTGCCAGCTCCCCCCCCGCCAATGTCAAAATTGAAATTTGAAGACTGTTACTAACACATCTTCATCTATAGGACGAAAGCATTTCCCTCTGGGAAACTTTTTTGCCTTCCTTGAAGATGATATATCCCTTCTACCAGGTTTCACCTACACATAATACCTGCGTTAAACTTTTTTTAATAGACATAGGTAAAATCAACACTTACAGTGATGTAAAAATCCAGTTTTCAGTTAAACTATTTAACAATTTGCTCATATTCGCAAAAGCTTCTTTTAATCAACATGCAATTTATAGGAACTCACTGGCCAGACCTTAAGTCTGAAGCCTTTCTTTCCAAGATCCAAGAAAGGGAGAGTTCTCCCCTTCAGACAGATTTAAGAGATGCACTGGTTTAAGCAAACACCAGTTGCCTTCACCTCCTTGCCCAATATTGCCCCTCTGGTACATCTGTAGGGGCCTCAGGCAGCTCATCAGTGAACTCCATTGGGGAAAAAGACAAAGACTGAAAGCCAGCTTTTTACTCCAATCAGTTTGGTTTCACTCAGTATCAGCTTCCTGATCTGTTTAGTAGTTCGTGTCAGCATCTGATGACTGAACACTGACAATCTGAAGAGCTTCACTTAAGTGCTACTTGGAAAGGCACTAAAGAACAGAGACAGAGCTGTACACAGAACTAGGAAGACAGCCCTGAATCTGATTTACATTCAAAGAGTCACAGCCTCACAAGAACTGGAACGTAATTGAGCAGCATTATGTACGTTAGTTAATTCCCTTAATTCTCTAAAAACATTCAGCGGACTTCAAGACTCCGTGGCTTCAAAATACCTCCATGAACACCACTATTTTTCTTGGAGCACTCATTTTTTATGCTGAGCTTTGGGGTTCACTTTTTCCATGAACAAATAAGCACTTAGGGGGTGGGGCACACACAGCATTGCACCTAAGCCATTCCAAAAAGTGACTGGCTACATGTCCATGTTGATTCAAGTTCAGAAAAAGCACTCTATTTCCTCAGAACTGCTTGTGTAAATCACAGTAGTTCAATGTTATACAGACTAACCACTAGGCTAAAGGGTGAGGGCAATACCAATCATATTTTTAGCTATGATCCACAGAGTGCTTTGTTACCATGTTCTTGGTTCTTTCTTCACAGAAGCTCCTACACACTCAGTCAAGCTAAGTAGCTACCGCATTAAAGACGGGAGGGGAAAGATGAAGGAAGATGAGTCCACAGCAACAACTAGTGAGACAAGCAGAAGTTCCCAGAAGGCCAGACTGAAAGGCTTCTTGTTGATCCTGCTCACTTTTAGTTAACAGAAGTTAAAATGAGCAAACCTAAATTATGTCCTTCATGGAAAAGAACAGTGAAAGTGATATTCATGGCACAGGAACTGGCAAAAAAGAATTAGTATTTTATACATCTGTATTTTATCAGTGCAATTATACAGCGATGATGATGTATTACCTAAAAGACCAAAAGCAGATTACACATGCCTGTATCTTAAAAAGCATTTGCCCTACGAAAGCATGGACCAAAAAAAAAAAGCATTCCAAATCTTAAAAAACAATCCAGTAGCAGTCAACACATGCTTTTCTATGTCTGAAAGTATGAGAGAGGCCTTTGATTTTAAAATGATATACATAATGGTGTTATATTTTACTCCAACCTACAAACAAAGCAAGCAGTTACTGTAGCAGTTGCTAGGTTTACATGAAATCAGTTACTATAAATCCATTAAACATGCACCCTATTCAAAGAAAAAACTGTTCATCAGACTGCTTAATGCAAACAAATAACATGGGAATGGCCAAAATGGCATTTAAGTTTCCACTTCTTGGTATAACGGACAGTTATTCTCCTAAAATCCATCACATGGCCTTTTTGAGAGCAGAAGTTGCTTTGTCTACACTAAGAAGATTCAGTAGCAACACAGCCGTCATTAGCAAATTCCCTCCTGTCTCTTCATTAACACAGTTTAGCTGCTGACATACTTCACCTCCTTGGTGTACTCCACCACATTCTCACTTGAACTTGCTGGAAATGGATCTCTTCTACAGTAGCAATTTATCATTGCAAGTTACAGAAACTGATTACAGCTGGAAGCCTTGTTTTTTTGTTTTCACACTATCAATCAGAAAGTGAATGGCACAGCAACTAGGCTTTGATACCTTTGACAGGAATTTTGTGACTGAAACTAAGGACACAGCTTTACAGACTTAGGAGTTCACTATTCCCAGGGCTAATCTTGATTACAGAAACTTTTTATAAAAAAATTCACAAGGCCTAAACTATGTAACATCAAAGAAGCATTTCTTCCTACTGTTTAAACATATTATCCTTTACTACCCAAAAGACTAGATACTTGGAGGAAGCCAGAAACCAGTTTTAAACATATGCAGCCAGACTATGCTGACTCCCTTAGGAAAGAGCTGTCATCCCAGAAGAGGCTGGCAGGATAGCTTCCCCAGAAGAGGGAGTTACTGATCATATACATTAAGTCCTGCACTTGCATACTCATGTTTCTACACAGTTTAGTCTTTGTTCTATGAAATAGCAATATCCAACTTCAGAGACCCTAATAATGCTAGTAACTTACAGTGTACAAAAAGCCAAAAGCTAAAGTTTACCAAAATTCACACAAACTACTCAAGCAGATAACTAACCTAGGCATCTGTGTGTCATCTGTATCTCCTTGACTGCAAATCAGGAAATTGAGGTATACAGAGACAAGTGGCTTGGGTCAGTTCCTTTAAGTGTGTCCGTGTGACAGGATTGCCTATTATTTTTTCCATGGTGACACTTAGCTTTCTAAAAGGTGGAAAAGATAGCCAGGCTCCTCTTTATGCAAGTTCTAGGCAATGAACAACTCATTTTAACAGTTTACTGTTACTATCTGAACATGCTGAGAAGATGACTGCATGGACTAAGAAAATCTAAAACATATTGTTATGAGTAAGAAGTTGACATTTTTCCGGTGTTTAAAAATAACTTGTTATCTAGCAATGAATGTAAGCAACTGTATCTCCTGAAGTTGTAAACGAATAAAAAAATACTCATGTATTACAAAATATTGTTCAGCATTTTGTGTCTTTCGAAAAACTGTCTGCCCCCCAAACTATATAGAAGAATACTTGAGACAAGAACTTTACAAAAGAGCTATATCATGAAAAGGATAGTTTTTCAGAACAAGGATGCTAAAACCAGTGGAACAGGGAGGTCACACATCTTCCATTAAAAGTTCACTAAAACGTTGAGATGGAAAGACTGCTTTTTACTTTACCTTAGGATGAGCTCGTCTCTAGGTAAAACCTTAAAATCTGCTTCACTAAGGCGAACCTATGGAGCAAAAGGAAAAGCACAACTTATGAAGCTGTCATGACTACCTGGGGGGGGAGGGATGGTGGGGAGTCACACGTATTTTTAAACATACCTTCTTTGGGAGAGGTTCTTCATTCGTCATTGTGAACTCTGAAGGGAGGGGAAAAAAAAGGGAGTTTTATTTAGCATAGTTACTAGTACACATGAAATACTGAACAAGTCAGAAACTTGTAGCTTCTAGCCTTATTTTTTTTTTAATTTGCAATATTAGACCACTGAAATATCGTTTCCACATAATGCACAGCCAGAGTACAAAGCAACACTATGACAAGTTTGCTGCTGTCATCTAGATACAGAGGCATTTTTTCTAAAAGTTAACCAAAACTTTCTTTAGATGTCTAAAGAGCCTACCAGCAATCAATTTTTCCTATTTAACTAAGCAAAACCACCCAACTTTGTCCATAGTTCTTTAGATCAAGCTGACATTTCATATGTGCCTACATCCATTTAACATTGTCTTTTACAAGGTAGAAGATATCAGGGTCTGAGGAAAGCAATTTATACTACTACTTCATTATCTCTCTGGAATAAAAGTAAATCCTTCGTGAACACTACCACTAACATAAAAAATAACACATTCTTCCAAGTACTTCTTCTCTTTATCAAAATTTTAAACAGGAAGTATTAAGCAATTATTTTAAAACCCTTGTGAATATTTTTAGGAAAAGATGTCAAATAAACAGCTTGGATACACCGTCAAGATTCAATTCCTCTTTTGTGTACATAGCATAGTAAGATTGCATTGTGCTAGGTTAAATAGTCACACCTCCTTGAGTTACAGGACATGCTTCCTTACCTCAAAAGGATAATACATATTATTTTCTACAACTATGATTATATCAGAAAAATTGAGTCTGCAAAGACTGTAAGCATACAAGTAACAATGAATGCAAGGTTTGCTAGAGGCATGAATCTTTGCACTATGCTTTTCAACAGAAAAGTTGCATATAAAATTAAGACTCAACAAGACTGTAAAGCTGCTATGACGCACGTATGCCAGGGAAAGGATGTGTCAACTCCTTGGTTGTAAACATGTAGCTTCACAAAAGCAATACTCTTAAGTAGTTAAAAAAAATATTTTCCCAAAAAGACTACCTTAGGTATTTTCACAATGACACCCAATGAACTCATCATTTTTTCAAATCCTAAGACTAACAAATCCTAAAATTGTTTGTCAGCAAGACAAACACACACACCCCAAATGAAGTATATAGCCTCTTCAACCTACACTAACCATTGACAAATACACAGCACTCTACCAAATAAGTCCCTGTTTAAAAAAAAAATACAATAAAAAGTGCTTCCCTAACCTAAGAAGTTCTCCCACCACCTCTCTTCTTGTACACAAGAAGTTACTCCAACATTTTGCTTTAACTTCTGGGTGCAGCTCCTTATTTGATACTGTTTTACCAGAAACGTACCTTAAATATATTCAAGCATAAGAGGCTACCAAGACAAACTGCCAGTGCCCAACTCAGTCACCCAAAATGATACAGAATAACTTGGTATCACAGGAGGAATGCTGTGACCCCTGTATTTAGGTTGCCTACCTCTCCCACTATCATTTTCCTGAAGATTTTTAGAATCTTTTAACTCCTTCAGTGTTTGAAAGTAGTCTTGAAGATCCCAGCAAGATTTAAGTCCTTCACAGAGAGAAACATGCTTTTCAGATGTCCCACAGAACTACAGATTAACACTGATTAAATTGTGCAGACGGTCATTATTCATGTCATCCTCAGGAAAGTACCAGAAGCATACAAATACCAGAAAAGGTGAGTTTCCTCAAAGACTTGTCCTGTGAACCCTGCAGCAGCATACAGCAATTATAAACACTTGATTGCTGCCACAATCATGACTGAAAGAAATCAAAGGCTGATGCTCCATCTAAGTAAGGGCAGTCTACCTCTTATCTCCAGACCTTGTGCCCGATTTCAGCATCTGATTCTCTACAGCAGCACTAGACCTGGCTACTCCAACCTCTACCCCCAGCATACCACCATTTACAAAGCCATGTCTTACTTTCAGACAAGAGGACAAAAGTGCTGAAGACTTAGGTTACAGGCCACTGCATTACACAAGTTACTGTCTGACTGTCACCTATTATTACTTGTGACAAAACCATACACTACAAAAACACAACACTGTAGCTAAAAATATTCTACAGGTTATTTTGGAAAAGCTAGGTTGATCACATCTGCAGATAAACATCAGCACTCTTTCTGCATGTGTGAATTTCACCTCACTACTCCCATGCAACAGCTTTTTTGGCACCTACAGTAACTTACCAAAAGCTTAAAAATTTGTTACCGCTACATATTACTACCACTGCGCTCAGTGTTTCTCAGAAACATTAAGAGTATCAGGCTGACTACATCAGTTGTCACAGTGATGTGCTTTAGCTTTCTGTTCACTAACGGATGAATTTGTAATGTTATTGTCTGTAGCATACAACTGAAATGTTAATTCTTTGAATTTATTACAGTAGCTTTTCAAGCACTGTGCAGCAAGTTTCTGCTTCTCATCACTTGGTTCTCCTCTAAAAGAGATGATCTCTCCCCCAGGCAGATCAGAAATATTCTGCAACAGCATGAAGAAGTGCTATTTTTTACAGTGAAAACAATCAACTGAAACAACATTCCTATATAACGGACTGACATTAACACATTTTGTGGTATGATGAATAGCTTAACAGTACTATCCTAACCAAGCACTTCCATGATTTTGGGGAAACTATGGCTGCTACACACCACTCCTCCTGCATATCTGCTCCTGGCAACGAGCACTATAAAACCAGATTCCATACGCAAAATAGTATTTCCATGGGAACTGAAAGAATTTTTATGTTTTAGGGTTTTATGGCACTTTAAACGTGAAACAAAGTTTAATGGGGAAGTGCATTTTAGTTTCAGGAAGTCCGGTAGTCTGTAAATCTTTTACTACAACGTTTAGAAAACATGGGATTTAAGGATTAAAAAAAAAAAACCCTAAGAAACAAAGTAATTAAGTAGCACTAAGTATGCTGCTTTACTAGTTACACCTGAAGTCACTACCAGTTATTTTAACGATATGAAAAAGAGTTCCATAGGGAAAGCCCCAGCATAGGCTC